CTGCTCAGTGCCATCACAGCACTGGGAGTGACTGGGCACGAGTACAGGGAGGATCACAGGGACCACAGGCACAGGGCATCCACCTCCTTGACACAGCACACACCCAGCAACACCATTACCTACCTGGAATTTCTTGCATATCTTAAAGGCGTGGAGCTGCTGCTGCCTGGCGCTCTCTGGGAGCTGCTTCAGGATGCACTGGTTCATCAGGAGGGCACTGTTGTCTGGCAAGGGCTACAAGGAGTGCACAGCATGTGTCAGCACTGCCCGGCTACCCAGTGCCATGCACTGCTCCCAGCAGGGACAGGTATCAATGCCCGAGGGATGTCTGTGAACAAACCCAGCCCTCCTGCCCTGGCACACAGGCTCACCAGGGACTTGTCGATAATGCAAAACATGTAGATATCGTGGAGCAGGATGTGCGAGGGGTTCTTGGGGTTGAAGGTGATGTGGGTGATGGGCGAGTCTCTCTCCAGCCAGACCTTGTGCAGCCCGCTCTTCTGCACTGTGCGGCTCCAGTCTGTGTACTGCTTCTCAGGAATGCTGAACTCAAACAACTGGAGAAGCAGGAGAGGGAAGACGGGGTGGCTCATGAAGCCTGGTTCTCTCTGGCTTCCCCCTCATGCTGGTGCATGGCAGCCCTGGCTCCAGCCAGGCTGTGAGCCAGACAGTGGGTCCCTGCTCCGGCCCAGAGCTGCAGCTTTCTCATGGGACCAGAAAGCTTCAAGGCCAGGGGGAGACACAGGGAAGGGACTGAGTCCATGAGGGCTGTGACTGGGAGAGCTCCTACCTGCTGGTCCGAGTAGGCAATAACAAGGTTGTTGGTGACAGGGTGGATGGCGACAGCTGTCACTGCGCAGCTGTACATGGGCACCGTGCAGTGATGCTGCAAGGCAGGAGAACAGCATGCAGACAGGAACACCAAAGGCTGCCTCCAAGCCCCCTCCACACACACACACACACCCCAGCCCTCCTCCATGGATAAAGCCATCCCCCTTCTGGGCAGGGGATCTACACACCAAGCCCACCATCACCCAGATCCCCAAGGCAGGAGGCAGCGGGCCCGTTACCGGAGCCACTCTCCAGTTCCTGCTCCTACCTTTAAGCGTTTCAGCTTGTAGATGTGGATTGCCCAGTCCCCACTGACTGCAGCCAGCCACCGCCCATCTGCGCTCAGCGCTAGCAGGTAAACAGCCTCAGGGGATCCTGTGGAAGCACCATCACCAGATGTAACGGGTGCTTGAGCCTGCAAAGAGCCCCAGACCTACCACCACAGTACATCCAGACCCGTGTCTTCCCCCTGCTGATCTGCACCCTGCTCCCTACCTATAGAGCAGCACAACGGGCAGAGGAGGAAGGATGCATACACCACACAGCAGGAAAAGGGGGATGCCCTCAGCTCTGCAGGGGTGGGACACAGCAGCCCAGGGACCCCCAGCACCTTCCAACCCCACCAGTTCCCCCCAGCCCAAACCTGATGGTGGCCGAAGCGTGTGCAGGTGTCTGCAGCCCCCCGGCTCTAGGAGCAGGACAACATGGACAGAACCTCGAGCGGAGGCAATGAAGAGGCTTCTGGAGTCAGAGGAGAACTGGAGCTGGTAGGCTGGGAGCAGCAGCTTTGACACTTTGGGGATCTTGAGACAGGAAGAAAGCAGCACTGGCAGCCACGTACCACTGCCACCCTCATCCCTGTGATAACACCGACCATGCCCCGACCCCGCAGCCACCCACCACCCGTCCCTGCAGCAGGCAGCCCATCACGCTCCTCACCTTTTCAATTCGGACACCGTCATCTTCATAGTGCACCCGGTAGAGGTGGAAGCGGGATGCTGTGGCATAGGTGACCCAACTGCCACAGGGCGAGATGCAGCTGCAGTAGATGTGCTCCGGGCCCTGGAAGTGCAGAGGGGCCAAACAGGGTTTGTGAGATCCCCGCAGGCAAACAAACGGGGTCAGCTGTCAGAGGGAGAGCAGAGGGGTGGCCACAGCAGACCCCAAGCCCCAGCTCAGCCCTACCTTGCTCTTGAGCTGCACGAGGTGCTCAGGCATGCTGCTCAGGGGAAGGACGTCACCATCCTTTCCTGGGTCAGTAAGAAACCACATGGTACATTGATGATGGTGGCGAAACCATCCGGGTCTCCATCTCCAGGCTCCCAACCCACGGGACCCAAATTGTGGGGAAACCACAGCTGGGGATCATGGAGAGCAGCACCAAGGAAAAACCAGACCCTCCCCCAGCCTCCCCTGAGGCAGAACCCCCAGGGCCCAGCCCAGCTCCACTGGAAGAGCAAGAAAGCCCTGGCATATGCCATGCTGGGAACCACAGCCATGCCCGGGGCCATCACCAGTGCAGGGCCATGTGAAGGGAAGGACCTGAACTAAGCCACTCCTCTGCTGCCCAAGCAGCAGGACAGCTTGTGCCTGCAACTCAGCACAGGCTCTGTCACAGGGCTTGCACTGGAGAGCTGGGCCTTGCCACTCACCCGTCCCATTGGTGGAGCCAAGCCTCCAGAGTTCCAGGTGCTGGGAGAACTGGAAGAGGAGCAGCCGGGCTTCCCTGGCACAGGAGACAAGGCGTCGCTGCGTGCAGAAAAGATCATCATGAACCCACAGCCTGGCACAAAGGGCTGGGCCAAAGCTGAAACGCCCTGGGGTGCCAGAGACTCTGGGGTGGGGAAGAGGAAGGACTTGGGTCCCATGGAACGGGAGCCTGGAGATGGAAAGCTAGCAGGACCAGCAAGACGAGCTTGCCAGCTTCTACACCCTCCGTGGCAGGAGCCTCCAGATGCAGCAGGGCCAGGGAGGGGACCCAGTGGGGCAGGGAGGACCAACCTTCTCCCACGGGAAGAGCCAGCCCTGCCAGCCTGCCTTGGCTCAGAGCAGCACTCACATGGGGGAAGGTGAATTTGCGGAGCACTGCCTCGTAGCCTTTGTCCTGCATCTTCTCCATCAGCGGGCGGATCACCAGCTGGGCGTCCAGGCCTGGAAGCCAAGCACAGGTCAGCCAAAATAGGTCTGGGGGGGAGGGATACCCAAGCCCTCCTGGTTACCACAGCCTGTCCTACCCCCAGAGATGAGAGCTGTTGAGCTGTGCGCCACAGCTCGCACGTCATGGGTGTGATAGTGGAATGGCTTTGTTCGTATCCAGCGCTTCTCCTGACTGCTCAGCTTCACCGGCAGCAGCTGGAACTGGTATGTGGCCCCCGCTGAAGTGCCCACAACGATGCTGTCTTCTTTCTGAAGGTGAGAGAAACAGGGAAGGGGTTTATGGGTGCAGACTGGAAAGAAGGAGAAGGCATTGCTGGAGGCAGACAGGGACCAGCAGCCTCACTCCCAGCCCCAAGGCACCGAGCCAGGGAGCTCCTGCCCCAGCACACCGAGGCCTGGGAATGACAGAGGAGACCTGCCTACCTCTGACACAGCCAGCGAGAGGACGGCTGAGTTGCTGACAGTGTGAGAGTCCAGCAGTGTCCCTTGCTCCCAGTTCCAGAACTGCACCCTCCCAAAGGAGTCTGAGGTGACAACAGTGCCACTGGAGAGGAAGGCGATGCTCCACACAATGCACTCCTGCTTCACCTTCTGTACGTGGTAATTCACCATGATCCTCTGCACAGTTTGGCCTGAGATAGGGGAAGGATGGTGTGGGGTGACAACAGGTTCCCCCGCAGCGCTTGGCCAGTGCTGACAGTCCCAGGGGCCAGGCCAGGCTCAGCTCCCAGGGCACAAGTTACCTGAACTGACATCAAGCACGCGGACACTATCGATGGAGCCAGCTGCTATGTGAGTGTCTGACGGGTGCCAGGAGAGACACAGGATGCGGCCTGTGGGGAAGGAAGCTCCAGATGTGACCCTGTGGGCTCGCACCCCCTTGGTCATCACCAGGACGGACAGGAAGGACAGAGTAAAGATGCACTGAAGTACTGCGCGTTCCCGGACTCACCTTTCCGCCTGTCCAGGTTCTGCTCAAACTGGATCCCACCAGGTACAACTTGGAATAGCCTAACGGAGCCATCATCGCAGCCGATCTGCAGGAGGGGTGGAATCAGCCCCAGCGGGAGGAGTGGACCCAAACCGCATCCTCCTCCGGAGGTGGCAGAGCCACCCCGGCCCCGATCCCAGTCCCAACCCCGCTCCACTCACCGCCAGCTGTGTGCCGCTGCTGTTGACCGCCATGCTCCAGATGGGCCCCCCGCAGCCATCCACCGAGCAAGCCACGCACAGCCCGGCCAGGTCGTACTCGGTGATCTCCCCGCTGAGCCCGGCCCCGAAGAGCCGGTCCCCCGCCCAGCACAGCGCTTCCACCGAGCGGGCCTCATGCCCGGGGATCACCTGAGGACGGACACCCGTTACCCGCTGCTCTCACCCCCGCTGCGGCTCGGCCCGGCCCGGCCCCGTGCCCTCACCTTCTCCTGGAAATAGTTGGCGGCGAAGTTGTAAACCTCGACGGTGCCGTCGGTGCGGGCCAGGCCCAGGCGGTCGCTGCGGGGCTGCCAGGCGAGGCAGCGCACGCCCGCGGGCACCAGCCCGAAGAACCGCACCCGGTGCACCTCGAACTCCCCCATCGCGCTCCCGCCGCCCCCGTCCCCGCTCCCGCCCTCGTCCCACACCGGCACCGGGCCGGGACCGCTCCGCCCCGCGCAACCCCACGTGCGCTCGGCGCACCCGGAAACGGAACTGGGGAGGGAAGAGGAACCGGAAGTAGAGGAGCGGTGCGGCGGGAGATTCGGGCGCTACCGAGCGGCGGATCCGACCTGGCCGCGGGAGCGGGACCGGGGCGGGGAGAACCGGGGGGGAGAGCTGCCGGGGCTGGGCGGGGAGGGGCCGGTGGAGGCGGGAGGAGCTCGGACTGCCCTGGCCTGACCCGACCCCGCAGCCCCGGGGCCACTGGAGGGCACCAGCGCCCAGCGCAACAGCGGAGCGGCCCGAGGGGGGAGCAGGGCCCGGGAAGCGGGTCTGGGAACGGGGGCAGCCGCAGGACCCGGCACGGGGAGCTCGGTGCGGTGTGTGCCGGGGAAGGGCCGGGCCGGTCCCCCCGCGCTGACCGCGTCTCAGGGCCCGCAGCATGGTGCAGATCGTCATCTCCAGGTGAGGCCTCCGCGGGCTGCGCGACCCCGACGGGTGCGGGTCCTGCCCCGGCGGCACCGGGGGGTGCGGGAGCCGTCGGGTGCAGCCACCGCGTGTCTCGCCCGCAGCGGCGGCGCCGGGGCCCTGGCGCAGTGGGTGCTGGTGGAGCTGCAGGGCGAGGTGGAGCCCCGGCAGAGCGGCGCGCTGGCGGGCAGCCTCCTGGGAGACCTGCACTACACCCGCGAGGTGAGGCGGCCGCGCGCGTACCGGGGCTCGGCCCCGACCGGGGGACAGGGGCCCTGCTGCTCGCCCTCACCCGCCGCCTCTCGCTGCTCTCCGCAGGGGGTGCCCGTCCTCATCGTGGGCCATCACATCCTCTATGGGAAGGTGGTGCAGCTGGAGAAGCCCTTTGCTGTGCTGGTGAAGCAGGGAGCCGAGGAGCCAGGCCCTGCGGGGCCGGATACGTGTTACACCATCGCTGCCCTCATCAAAACCAAGCTCCTTTTCAAAACCCGCCCCAAGCCCATCATCACCAATGTGCCCAAGAAAGTGTGAGGACTTGGGCTGATGGCTGCGAGCACCAGGCGACGCAGGGCTGGCATCTCCATCCTGTGTAGAGGACTCCAAGGGTCACCTCAAAGTGCAGATCCTGCATCTGTGTGCCCAGAGCTCTTCACAGGTCATTTGTACCCCCTGCAATGACTCAGTTTCTGAGAGCTGCCGTGCTCTTGGGCACAAACCCAAGTGCCATCCTAGGTGATGTGGGTCCTGATGGGCAGAAACATCCTCTGAGCACAGGGGCTGCCCTCAGGGCTTGGATTCAGCTGGTCCCAGTGTGCTGCCAGCGCTGCCTGTGGCAGAGAGGCCCATCTGTTGACGTGTCCCCTCTAAAAGCACCTCTGTACCTATGGGGACATCAGGCGCTGGGCAGGGACTCAAGCCCCAGCTTCCCTTGAGCCAGGGCAGGGGACCAGGACCATCACCCTCCACACACACACACACACGCCACCTTTCCTTGGTGCAAGTCTTTATTTTGACAAATCCATTAGGATATAAAAACAGGTTTTTTCCAAAATATGAAAGAAAAAAAATAATAATCAACTGCGGGTTAAAAAATAAATAGATTTACAAACAATTCGCAGCAAGTCTGAATACCAAAGAGCTACAAAAGTCTCCTAAAAAACCTTGTATTAAATTAAACAAAACCATCTAAAAGCTCAATTGTAGAAAGGTTTTGAAGCCCTGAAAAAAAAGAGGGCCCATGGGAGAGGACCGGGTGAATTCCCCAGGAAGGGGAGAGGTTGGGAACCTGCTCTTCCCCACCCTCCTCTGCATGCCAAAGCCCAAAACCCAGCGTCTCCCCACTGTCTAGACAAGGTGCCAGGAAGGCAGCAGGGTTGGTATGATGGGGCTGCAGTGACACTCCGGCCAAGCCACAGTCCCCAGTTTCCATGTGCTGGGATCCCCCCTTGGCTCTTTGGCAAAGCTAAAAGGAGGTGCTGCCCTCCTGGGGCAGCCAGACCCCCAAAAGGGGCTGGAGGGAGCCGTGAGGGCTCCCCTAGGTACATGCCCACACATACAACAGCAGTGGGGCAGAGGCAGCACCAGCCAGCGGTGCTGGCACACGGTGCCACGTGGGACCTTTTTGCCATAGCACCGTGGTGGTTGGACCATGAAATCCCCATAGAAAGCACCGAAGGGTGTAGGACACAGGGGTGGGGGAGCCTGGCCAGCAGCACTCCACATAGCACACCAGTACGGCACTGGTGGGGGGACACCTCTGTCATCGCTGCAGCACCAAGGCTGTGCCCAGCATGGTGCCAGGCAACACCAGCTCGGCCTCTCCCCATTCATCAGCCAGCTTTTGTACAGAAAAATCAATATATATGAAAAAACCCAAAACAATGATAAAAGAAACAGCAAGACTTGATCAGAAACGGAGCAGCGGGTTCGCTCAGCACTGCCCAGCACCAACAGCTCAGCACCCGCTGTGCTGGGCAAGGAGGGACCAGCGATGGTCACCCTAGGGCAGAGCCCCTGCCTCAGTCAGACCTCAGTAAAAGCCAGCCCGCACTGCTCCTGCCGCTTGCCGCAGCGCCGGGCAACGATAGCCATGTAGAGGGCAAACAGGCCCACCCAGTAACAGGCATAGAGGATGGCACCCGAGACCAGGAAGGCCACCTCGGTGTCACTGAAGAGGTCCTGGCTGTAGGCAGTGTAGGCCAGCCCGCCCAGCAGCACTGCTACCCACACCGACACCGGCAGCAGCCCCACGAAGTTAACCACGATGGTCCGGCGCCCTGATGTGCCCCAGCCAGACTTCTTGATGGTGGCGATGGCAAATATCTTGGCAGGCAGCAGGCTGGACATGTAGAGGAGGGCATAGAGGGACATGAAGATCATCTCAGCATTGCCCCGCAGGAAGCAGGCATAGGTGGCTTTGATGATGCCCACCAGCTGCACCGTGAGCAGAAAGAGGAGGATGTTCCAGATGCGGCCACGATAGAAAAGCTGGATGACAGTGGCAATGAGGAAGAAGGGGAAGAAGCCGGTCACCACAGACTCGTAGGTCATCCAGAGGTGATGCTTATGGAACCACAGGGCATTGTAAAGCCACTCACGGAAGTAGGACTTGCTCCAGCGGGTCTGCTGGTTGAGCCAGCGCAGGTAGCGGGTGGGAGTCTCCGTCAGGCACTTGGAGCGAGCCGTGTACTTGGTCTGGTAGCCCAGGCTGAGCACGCGGTTGGTGAGGTGCCGGTCATCCCCAAAGCTGCATTTACTGCCCAGGAAGGTCTGGTGATACCAGTCCTCAAGAAACTGCTGCAGCAGGGCATTGCGGTACATGCCCAGGGGCCCGCTGATGCACTGCACGCAGCCGAAGTAGGACTGGCAGGCGCGCTCCACGTTGAAGGCCATCCAGTACCGCACGCTGCTCAGGAAGGAGATCCACGAGTCGTACTTGTTCAGGATCTGGGAAAGGGATTGACATGAGCCCTGGTACTGCTGCCTCTCCCCCCTCGCCACCCCGGGGTGCCCTCCCTAGCAGGGGGGTACCTGCACATCGCCTCCGACGCCACCAACGCGGGGGTCGGCCTCCAGGATGCGGAGCATCTCCGCGGTGCAGGCGGGGTCCAGCACTGTGTCTGAGTCACACACCTGGGGGCAGAGGGAACGTCGAGCCCCGCTCCCGCTGCACCCACGCACGGCAGACAGCCCAGCCCGCAGCAGGGCAAGCCCGAGCCACGGCCGGCGAGACCAGGCACAGCCCCAACACCGGCACCACTGCCCTGGGCCACCCAGCCCCGCCACCGCCATGGGACCTGCCCTGTCCACCACCCTTCACCTGCACGTGGGGACCTGGCACTCCACACCATAACACTGTCCCACAGCGTGACACCTGCCTGCGGTGGTGTGAAACCCTCACAGGCAGGGCCTGACACCTCAGGCCAGCAGCGATTCACCTTCCAACCCCAGTGGTGCTGCCTGGCAGCAAATGCACAGGGCTGGATCCAGCACCAGGCAGCAGGTGCTGCAATGGGCTCATAGAGCTGCTCCTGCTCCACCCGCAGCCCCTCTGCCTGGCCCCCAATTGCTGCCCCCATTCCCCCCTCCCACCCAGCGCATGCATCCACCTGGATATAGTCCACGGAGTCTCCGAGCGCCCGGAAGGCCGTGTACATCACCTCCCGTTTCCCACCCCACTTCTGGAGGATGCAGGAGTAGGTGGTGCCGCGCACCAGCGCCTGGACATGGGCCAGCCCTTCCCGCAGCCCGGCCTCTGTCTCTCCCTCGCCCCATGCATGGAAGTTACTCCTCCAGATGTAGCTGCCTGAATGCTCGGAGCCCATCACATCGTGGAAGATGTCCAGCATGTAGGTGTCATCGGGGCCATTTCCATCCACCACCATCACCACTTTGAGGTCGGGGAAGGCGATGCGCTTGACGGAGCGCAGGCACTTCTTCAGGTAGTCAGGATCCTCCTGGTAGGCGGCGATGCAGAGGGCCACCGAGCGCCCCAGCCGCACTGGCCGCCCCTCGCCCCGCATGCGCCGGTGCTCCAGGAAGGCAAAGAGGCTCTGGATAAAGAGGTGCAGCCCCAGGATGGCCCCGTAGAGCCCGAAGGAGAGGTAGTGCTTCTCCGTGTGGATGAACTGGTAGCCTGTGACGTAGGCAGCGAGGATGCCCCCCAGCACCGCCAAGGCGAAGAGGCTGGTCCCAATAACGCGCAGGGCTGTGGAGAGGCTCACTGGCATCTAGGGGGGGACCAGACAGTGTCAGGGCAGGGTGCAGGGAACAGTACACAGCCAGACCCACTGCCTGGATCCCCACGAGGGGAGAGCGTGGGGATGCCGCTTGTCTGCCGCCCCATGGCCACCCTGTCCCTCACGAGTTACCAGTCTGGGGGTGAGACCTTCCAGGTAGCTCCATGGCGTGGGGGTCCCAAGCATCCCACTGAACACGGTGCCTGCACCCACCACCAAGCCCCGTCCAACCCAGCAGGGGCTGCATCAGCTCCCCGGCAACCTCCAGGCTGGAGGACAGAGAAGGACACAGGGACGTGGGAGCCCTGGGCTGTCCCCATGGGAGACACCCTGCCTGTGCACCGCGTCCCCGGGTACCTTCCGGCAGCGGGGGCCGGCAGGTCCCGGATCCCCACCCCAGTAAGGGCAGGGTCCGGGCAGCGGTGAGGACCGCAGAGCCGTACCGCAGGCATGGCCGGGGGGTGCGGGCAGGCGAAGGAGTGCGGGTAGGTGCGGGGGGGGGAACGAACACGTGGGGGAAGGTGCAGGCAGGGGGGTGCGGGCAGCGCACAGAGCCCTCCCCGGGGACCCCCCGAGCTACCGACAGCGCCCCCGGGGCAGCCCCAGACCCTCCCCGGGCCCCGCAGCCTCCGGTACCGGCTCCGCGCTCCCGGTGCCGCCGCGGTTGCTCTCGCAGCGTGGGGGCACAGACGGAGGGTGGAAGAGTCAGGGCACCGCAAGCCGGAGGAAGGAGGGAGGGACCGGGACTCACCGTGCTGGTGCCGGTAGTGCCGCTCACCCCGGCCGCCGCCGCCGCCGCTGTGCACCCAGCCCGGCCCGTGCGGCCCCTTTATACCGCGGCGGGGCCGGCACCGCCCGCAGCCCGCGGGGGCTCCGCCCGGCACCGGCAGCACCGGCACCGACACCGGCACCACCCACGGCACCGCCCGCAGGCAGCGGAGACCCTCCCGGCACCGGCAGCACCTGGGACCGGCTCCAGCCCCGCACTGCGGGAGTGATGACCGGCACCGGCATCACCCGGCGCTGCGCTGCACCGGCACCGGCGGCATCCGGCACAGGCGGCACTGCCACCGGCTCAGCGCCACGGGGCTGGCCTCAGCTCCTCGCCTGACCATGGCTGGGCACCCGGGGACACCTCAGCGGCCACCCCGGGACACCCCGTCCCCCTGCCCCACTCTCGGGGCCCCTCTCATGACACCACGGGTAACCTACGTGTCACGGCCCCGCACCCCGGAGTCCTCGCAAGGCTGTGAACCCCTGGGGGTGCACAGGGCCTGCCCCACACCGTTCACTCTGCCATGACGGCCAGTGGGTCCCAGGGCAGGACCAGGATCACACGGGGAACAGCAGCCCTGTGCTGGTGACACACAGCGTCCCCACACTGCGCTTTTGGCAGGGGACAATCAGCCCTGGGGTGACCATGAAGAGCCCAGAGGAGCTGCAGCCTCAGCTTTGAGCTCAAAACCAGTACATTTGGGTTTTTCATCCTGATGTGGGCTGGGAGCTGGCTGCAAATTGATTCTGTGTTTAGGCCCTGACCCTTATTCCCTCTGGGGTCTGGGGAAATGGATCCCTCCAGCAGGAGCACCCCGGCCAAATGTCTGCCCTCATCTGGAACCCCCAGCACCACTGTGGTGCTGAGCAGTGTCCGGAGCGGGTGGTGAGGAACTGGTGAGCCCATGGACGCTGGGGAGGGGGCACAGATGCACCAGGACCCTCGGCACCACCAGTGGGGCTCCCACGTGCCCTGGCTGAGCCGGGCAGCGATGGGACGTGGAGGTGTGAAACCCGGTGTGGATCAGACTTCGAGGGGTGCTGCCTGCGCTGCTGCTGCCAGGTGCATGCAGGGTGCCCATGGCTGCAGGCAGGGAGCAGGGAGGAGAACGGACAGGGGCAGCGTGTCCCCACCCTGCAGCCCTCCCCATAGCTCTCGGTAGGGTCCCAGCCCGGGGGTTGCCCCTTACCTTCCGTTGTACCCGTGGCTGCCGGGTGTCTCTCGCCGCTGCCGGCCGGGAGCTGGCCGCAGGAACCCTGCCCGAGATAGAAACCAAACTCCCTCCTCCTGCAGCACAGCCGCCCCGTTGTTCCCTGCGGCAGGACGGACGGACGGAGCCCGCCCAGCCCCATCGAAAGAGACTTTTCATTCAGAATCCGTCCCCTGCTGCTTGCGGCAGGCCCCGGGGAGGCTCAGCCCGAACGGCAGCATCGCGGCGTGCGCGGCACCGGCACCGCTGTGGGCTGGCGGCAGCGACAGCGACAGCGCGGTAAGGACAATGCGCTCCCGCTGCCCGAGCACACCCGGCACGGCGAGGTGCGGACCCGACGCAGGCGGCTTCGCTGGGGGGGTGAAGACACAGCCCAGCAACCCCAGTCCTGCTGGGAACAGCGGTGCTGCGCACCTCACACCAACCGGCACCGGTATCAGGTACCCGGGGCCGAGCACGGCGGGGCTGGGGCTGCCCAGTGCAAGGGGGACTGTGGGCTGGGCCCCTGAGGGCTCTGTTACCGCAGTCCCCAGCCCTGCTCCCCTAACCCGATGGATCCATGGTGAAGCAGTGGGGCCCGTGGTGCTGCAGCACCCATGGGGGCTGCCCTGGCTGCAGAGAGATGAGCGATACCGGTATCGGGATGCACCCGAGCACACTGGTGGTCCCAGCACGACACCCTGCAGGGCTGCGCTCCCTGCACACAGGCAGTCCTAGCACGGATAAGGTTCCTGGTGCTGCAGTGGAAGGACCCCATCCTAAGACCTCACCGTGAGGGAGACCCCAGAACAGGTGGCAGAAGGGCAGTGCCATGGCAGGGCCTTCCCCAGGGACACTGCAGAGGGGCATGGGGTCTCAAATGCAGCCCCACTCCCAACACTGTGGCATCAGCACCTTGGCAGGCTTGGCAATGCCAGTTCCACTTCCCTCTCCCCCACCCTCGAAAATCACGCGGTTTTGGCTAAAATCACGTTTAGAAGCTGCCCCAGCTGCTGCCTCCAGGGATTGTC